TTTAATTTTCCTATTAACTGAGACACAATTTCGCTTCGTAACGAAAGAATACTTAACTTTCGTTCCGGGCTAAATACAAGATCAGTCGTTCGCCCGGTGAAACGAGATTCTCGATGAAAAAGTCATTCAACAGCGACTAAGTTTCTGTAAAAGCTTCCATTAAGTTAAATTTTCTTTCAACCACTTTTATTTAAGATTTTATACAAAGAATGGTTTCAAGATAAGATATTACAGGTGTGTAATTGTTTCGTTTGTATTGTAAGAAATGGTGAGGTTTTTGTGCCCAGAAATTTCTGTTATAACTACTTTTGTACGTACGGAATGGATCGTATATTTTGTAGCTAACAGCAGACTAATTGCATTTCTTTCTAAGTGTCCCTGTTATTAGAGCATTAATTGAAAAACTTCAATTAAATGAATTTGCTAGAAAAGAAAACTTATATTGGAGGTGACAGAACATATAGGTGTGCAGAATTTAATTCGTAAGAAATTGATATATTGCGACAAAATGCAGCAGGAATTCATGTTGTACCAAAGATAAAATATACAAAATTATTTTCACACATTATTAGATAAAGAAATTATCATTCGTTATTATTAAATCAATAGGTTTTCATCTCGTTTTTATTCCACCTTTACATAAACTGTAACTCCTGTTTAAAATTAATAGGGATTTATACTTAAACATAAATCTAAGTAGATTTTCATAAATATTTAAACAATTTGCCGCGTTGTTCGCTCCGTAAGAAGATAAAATGAATTCATTAAACGTGCACATTCTGAACAGAATGTTCCCATGTAACTTCGAATCATAGAAACAATAATGTTCCTCGTGCTTTTAAAGAATCACCTATAATTCATATTTAATCTGGTATTTTTCACCGGTCGTTTGATTTTTACCGGTATATTTTTGCGCAAACGTTTTGCGATAGATCAGATTCGCGGTGACATCACAAAAGCGATAAACGATAGCAACGAGGGATTCAGTGCACGCCCGATGCCCATGATATTACTTCGAATAAAACGAGATAATACCTCTGATATGAAAGTTCCATTGAACAGCCATAATACGGGCCGGTTTGTCTGTAAAGACCATCACCCGATTTCACGGCAAATGCCACTTCATTATTTGGGAAAATCGAGCGAAACTCGCTTAACAAATGGAAACGTGCAAGATAAATTACACAGAGTGATCGACAGTTTTCAACTAAAGCTGTATTTTATATGATCATGTTTATTTAATGAGTTTTCGAGAAAAATGATAAAATTTGGGTAAATATTCGGAAGTGTAACTCCTGTCAGAATCGAGCTGATTTCTTTTCGTGTGGTTTCTTACAGCTAAAAAACATCATATTTAATGTTATTATTATCAGCGCTTCAACAAAAAAAATGTATTCTGTTCTTTCAAAATACAATAGACATACAAACTATTTTGACAATTCTTCATTATAATATTGCTGAATAGCATCGAAAATGGCATGTACGCGTTAACTGTGCGGCAATATAACCAGCCATTTGGTAATCACGTCGTCCGAATTTTGGGATATTACCACGACAATTCCAGATGTAAACAAAAAACAAAACATCCTCCTCGAGTTGAACAGTAACATATTAAATTCGTTTTGCTGACTGGGGGGCTCTGCCCCCCAGACCCCCTGTATACTACACTAACCAATACCAATACCGATTTTTAATATAAGGAAATAATAAACACAATTTACAAAGTAACATATTTATTAGTATTAGTTAGTGTAGTTATTAGGGGGGGTCTGGAGGGCACGGCCCCCCAGTCAGCAAAACGAATTTAATATGTTACTGTTCAACCGAATATTTTCTATTTCGTCAAGTTTTCACCGCGCACAGTGAACGCGTATATAAAATCTTTAAAAAAATATTTATTGACATTGTTTTTGTTGATGCGCTGCCATAATAATATTAAATATGATGTATTTTAATTGTAAGAAACCACACAAAAAAAAATCAACTCGATTCTGACAGGAGTTACACTTCCGAATATTTACCAAAATTTGATTTTCACAGAAAGGAAAGGAAAGGAATATATGAATTTCTCGGCATTAAAAATTCAAAACAATTTTTCCTGCTTCTTCGAAATTAAATTCCCGGGCACGCGTAGAAATTCCTAACGACAGCACAGAAAATTTCTCGCAAGTCATATCGGTTCGCGCTGAACATAGAGAATTTTATTTTTCACGCGAGACGCAATCAAGACGAAACAATGTTACGCGTACGGACGGGGCTGGAGGATGGTCGCGCGTCGTAAATCTCAATCGAATTTCGCGGATCGGATCGGCGGAGAAGGACGGATACCTTGCTCGGAAAAAGGCTGATTTATTATTTCGTCGCTAGGAACAAAACTGTTTGATTTATCGCGGCAGGTCGCGTTCGATGATGCATAAATTGGTCGACGTGAAAGGAAACGAACTAGGAGAGGGCATTAAATGGACAGAAGGAGAAAAAATGCACTCCGGGATGTGGGAGTTTGAAAGAGCCGCGATAAAAGTGAAAAGAAAAGAACGTACCGTGATTCGGCTTGCGCGTTGATTCAAGCGTCGTGGAAGCTCAATGTCGGCTAGTTTATGGGCATCGTATAAACTGCGATAAATTTCGATGGAAGCCGAAACATTTCGCACTCCATCTTTCTTGTTTTCTTTCACCGTTTTCTTCCAGTAAGATCGACTTATCATGTCGAAGGAAATGTATGCATTTCGAAAACATTCCCATATTTATCACGCTTGAGAACTGGCAAAGTAGTTGTAAAATTTCGAATAAATATCAAACGCGTCGTCGTGAATAAATCGAAGATCTAATGGTTATCAGGCATACAATAAATTTACACGAGCAAGTGACGAGGTGAAAATATTGGAAAAATTTTATCACAGTAGCGTTACGAGAGGTCAGAGTTATGCCCATTAATAAATTAAAAACCTTTGTCTTAATAAATACCGCGATATTTTTAAAATTCACAAAGAATTAGAATTGTCTCTTATTAGATCGCCTTTCTTTATATTGCCATTTGAATGAACTCCTTCTGTCCGGATTTAACAAAAGAAAGAATTTTATTATCTTTCTATTCAATTTTCGTTCCAGCTTTCAAGCAATATGAATTTTCATTGCTCTAGTTGTCACGTTCAATCGACATTTCGTATCTAATAGTTTCGAATCTGGCAAGCAACGATCCAGAAATGGTATCCCGTGATTTTTCACAGGTGAAATGCGGCTACGATTACAACCGGAGTTTCCGCACGGGAACTTCCGGGTGATGCCGATCAAAATTTCCTTCTGCCAAGAATACCGATTTCGTTGCTCTCTTCGAGATTAATAAACCACTTGATTTCAATTCTCGAGCCCATTTATCCTACTGCGAGCTGTCTTCGTAAAGTTACGTCTCAGAGAAATTCTTTAGGTTGCATTAAAGTTTCCCTGATAAATCATTGTGCAAGCGAGCAGTTTTAAGAAAAAAAGAAAATTGTTGACGATGCATTTCGCATTGCGAGATTTATAGGTCGATCAGATTTTTCGATAAGAATAACTAATGTATAATAATTTCATAGCTAGTCGTTAGTTAAATTCAAACAGTATATTTAACCTTCCCTTCAATAATTCATTATTATTTTATATAAGACATGTGTAACGTAACGAAATGAAGGGTTAAACTTTTATTTCAACCTTTATACTGTAATAAAAAAAATGTACGTGGATACACCTAAGCTATCTCTAAAATAACTCCGTAAAAGAAAAAAGAATCAGGGAATATTCAAATTAGGCGAACACGGTAACCAAAGTGTTAGACTACATGTACCAAACCATTTTTCGTCGTAAAGTTCCCTCAGGTAATTTGCTGCAAGCCGTGCATTATGTACAGCATCCTGTTGAAAGTATTTTAAGTGCGTTCACACTTGCACGAAACTTATCGTCGGAAAAATTATGTAACATAACTTAATGTAGGCTGTCTCCACTGCGAATAGATGGATATTATGGTATATTTATGAAATACTCACTGAATTTTTATTGCAAGTGAAATAATTCAATGTTTCATTAAAGAAAAGGGTGGTAAAATGTCTTCACCCTCTTCAGTTTTCTATATTTCTTTTTGAAATAGGGATAGACACTTAATTAATCCAGTTTTTTTTTTTAGTGAAACAATATAAATTCCAATTTTAAATTCAGGTGTCTTATATACCCCCATTGACAAGTCTCGACCCTCTTCAGTTATCTATATACTTTTTTGAAATAGGGATAGGCACTTAATTCCAATTTCAAATCCACGTGTCTTATACGCCCCCATTGACAAATTCATCCCCTGAGCGGCTTGAGACAAGCGTACCCAAGAGACAGACCGAACAAATCGAGTCATCAACCTATACAAATCGTTGAAAAACATTGCCTCGCGATCAGTTATTATTTTTTGTAAGCGAGTTCCACAAACGGGGTACAAAAACCAACCATGCAATTTCCTTGCGAAGCAGACGCATCTTGGGTTATTCCAACGCCGACGGCATATTTTTCATTTAAAGTGCGATAAGATTATCCCTGGAGAGTATCCATTCGGCCTGAGAGGCCTATCCAATCATATTTTATATTATAATTTTTAAAGAAACAGTGAAATTTAGAAAATGAAAATAATATGAGATGCGGGAGTAAATTGAAATTGAGCCTCTCTCCATGGTCCGCCGCCCGAAGATTAAAAGAATTCTTAATAATGAGCTTATCAATAGATGGATCTATTGATTTTTATATTAAGAAATTAAAGTCCCTTTTTAAGTAAATACCAAAATATTAGAAAATTTCAGATAATATTACTTATAATAAACAATTACATGGTTACATCTCGAACGAATTTGTACCATTTAATTGACGCAGCATGCAATAACGGCATTAGATTAAACTACTTGGATGGCAGTTCGGTGCCGATAACGAGCTACTAAGTACCAAACGATCGGTTCGTGATCCCATTTATATACCCATTCTGGCATACATACCTGCACCGATGTGTTCGAGCACGTTGCTGGCGGTAGGTCTGGTGGATGGAACGCAGACGGGTGCAAATCGGCGATGCGGTGGGAAATCGAACGGAAGAAACAAAGGCTGCAATATCGATCGATCGGTTCGTCGAATCGACAGCTCGTCACTCGCGCGAAATTAAAAATTGAAAAAAAAAAAGAAAGGTCTGTTCCTTCGCGACGATGCGAGCCACACGTTTGTCGCACAGCGTCGCGACGTTCCGTGAGTGACACGAAGACACACTTCGGTTACACCTCCCCACCGTGCGTTCTCTCGCAACAAGTTGAATTTACCCTTGAATCGAACTCATCGAGCCTCTGCGGACCGTCACGTGACACGATGGCCACCCTTACGGATACGTTTCCCGTGAAGAAAAAAATTGTATTAATTCTCCGTTTAACGAGCCGTTTCCAACGCCTCCTTGTTCCAACTTCTTCGGTTATTCGTGAAACTAGGACGCGCTCGTTCGTTCGTGAAATATCCAGTATTGTTTGGAGAAATGAAGTGCTTCGTTTCCGTGGATAAAAACATCTGCAATGGCGATGCGCGATATTCAAAGAGGTAATCGTACTTTGCTAAGCAGAGACGAGTAGTCTATCCTTGAAAGAATTCGATGTTGGTACTAATTTAGAAGACACTTAGTAATTGCATTATGGTTCGTCGGTTGTACTGTATTAATTAACACTAACGGTGAGTCCTCATCCCTTCGCGTAGCACAGACGTTCAATTATACCCGCTGAGAGGGATTCTTTCTGTAACTTTCTCCCAGCCTGATATCTAATCCCTCAGAAATGTGAAAGGTTAAGGTCAAATAATCCGATAACGTGTATAGGTTAGATCCGGTCAAAATGGATATCCATTTACACGTTGCACAAATTCATGCGGACACGTGTGTGTACGTCTGTGTGTCTGTGCTCTTTCACTGTCTCTCGAGTTCCTATTTAATCTTCATATCGTTGAAGAACCCCGAGCGGTGAGATAAGTTGAGGAGGTAAAAAATTAAGTTTTTGTATTGGATGGGGTAACTTTGGTCACGTCCCGCCGGGTCCAGTTCTCGCCGGAGCACTAATGAAAAACCCGATAAAAACTGGTCAGTCTTCTTAATTGTAAAATAATATCACGTCGAATGTTCTTATCATTAACGGCTACCGAGGTCGCTAACACGTTAATGTATATTTGGGCAGTGATAAATCATCAGCATCAGCTGCGTCCTCGTTGCCGCGTCAACTTATCGAGCCGTACCATTAATCCATATCCGTCTTTATCGACAAATTCGAGTCTGGTGTAGCGCAAATGATAAACCCAGCGAATACATCCACGTCGCACGAAAGTCTTGGCGTTTTGGTTCTTTTTTTTTTTTTTTTTTTTTTTTTTTCTCTCTTCGCTCGTTCAACTTCACTGGGACAGAGCGAGCGTCGGATGTACGTTACGCGATGCGAGGAAATCGAGGTTAGTGCACTGGCATCGGCTCGCGCTCACCGTCGTCCACGTTCACGCAGCAAATCGAAGATGTTCCGCGAGCTACGTCGTCAGCAGCACCGTTCTGTCATCAGGCACGTCAACGGGAACAAATCGTGTCACATGATCGGCCCGGCGAATTCCGTTTCGACGTCTCCGTCGAGTTGGTCGTAGCGCTGCTTCGGGGTTGTAGGTTAGGGTATCCTCCTTCCCCCCCCCCCCCCCTTCCCTCCTCCGCCACGGAGGTATACCAGCGCGGACGAAACGAGATAGAAAGAGATAAAATGAGAAATGAAAAAAGGAAAAGAGAACGATACACGCCGGTTTCTCCTCCTTCGTTGGCCAGGGAGCGGCTATGGCGGCGGCCTGGCTCTTACTGCTACCCTCGGTGCGTAGGTGACCGAAAGGGGTCGTCTGTTCGCGGGCTGAAGGGGGAACGATTATCTCGCAGCATCCCATCGCGCAGGACCATTTTCGTTGCGACCCCGAGCCGACCGACCGAGGGGAAGGAAGAGGGCGCTAGTTGAACGGAGACATCTGTGGAAGGAAACGTACCGCGGTGGGTGAAAAAAAGGGTTGGATAGTGGTACCGGGAGGAAAACAGTATTCAGCTGCGTGGAGAGAAAAAGATTCGTGTAGATTTTTGCGGGTCACGGGGGGAGGTGGATAGAAGGAGATGGCATAAGCGGGATATTGTTGGGATAACCGTGTAAATTGGAAAGAGAAAATATCAAAGGATGAGAGATCAAAAGGGACTGCGGATTGAAGGAAAAGAACCGTTGAAAGATGGTAAGGGTTGGCGGAGGACGGAGAGAGGAAGCGTGAGATGAAGGAAATAGGCGTGTATTAAGGACGGAATCGAGGACGAAAAATAATCCTGAGGGAGGGAAAAGGAGCGACGATTGGAGTGCTAAAAATGATCGAATGGTTGACGAGGAAAGGAGTAAAAAGATACGGTAGTGGATATATATGTTTTTGTTTATTTTAACGTGGAAGATGGGATGCGGAAGAGAATTTGGACCACTAATAAATGATAAAATAGAGTATCTACTAAAGGAAAAAATAAAAATACGAAAGAAGAAAGGTTATCAAAATATCGAAGAGAATGCTGAAGGGAAATGGACCAAATCGGATGACCTAAAACAAACTGGAGCAAAGCCAGAGAAAAAATAGATGCAAGATCAGGAATGAATAGATTGAAGCACGTGATAAAATAAGAGAAGAAAATCTGAAAGATTGCGCACACCAGAGAATACAAAGGAAGAAGAGAGAAAGAAATGCTGAAATATTTGCAAGAGAAAGAAATAACAAAGGGGTTGGAGATCGTAGCTAGTCTTAGAATGGAAAATGAGGAGAAAGCCAATAGATTATAGATACTGAATAGAAAAGGAGAAGAACCAGTACAGAATATGTGAACAAAAAGAAAAAGCTGAGCATGTTCTAACCATGTGAAAATCTTAATAGATGATGAAGAAGAAAGAATCAAATTCAGGATGGATGAAAAGAAGAAAATGAAGAAATAAATAGTGAAAAAATATAATAAAATTTTAAAATTGTACAAAATAGATTCGATAACATTTCTATAAGAAAAGGGAACAAGAAGATGGATATTTTCTACAATGTACAGTAAAATAAGCGAAAACGGAAGAAAGCACTTTTATCTTCCGGTGCTGCCGAATAGCTCTAACAATAGAAGAAGGAAAGAAGAATTGAAGATATTGTGTACTTGGTAATACCAATCGATCTTCTGTACAAAGTTTATCTTAAACTACTTTCAACGGTAGGAAGGGCAGTTGTTTAAAGCGCTTGTAGATATACAATGAGCTTTCAAAAGTATTCATCTAAAGACAAACATTATACAGGGTGTCCCAGAACTGGGGTAGGACCCGTGGAGGGATGATTGCTGAGGTTATTCTAAACAACTTTTTCTTTTGCCAAAATATTGGTTAAGGATTCGTTCTCGAGTTATTAACGAAAAACACTGGCCAATCAGAGCGCACCTTTAGCGCGAGCCGAACGCGTGGTCGTGATCAAGTGCATCGATACCACGTCGGTGTAATAGGATTCGTTTTTCATGAGCAACCGATAATTCGATACTATTGTTCCTTTCTTTTTTCAATTTATTATTCGATACAACTTTCCCCCAACGAATCCTATTATACCGACGTGGTGCTGATGCACTTGATCACGACCACGGTTTGAACGCAGAGCATACCCAACACTCTCGCGGTTCGGCCCACTGATTGGCCAGTGTTTTTCGTTAATAACTCGAAAACGAAGCCTTAACCAACATTTTGGCAAAGGAATAAGTTGTTTAGAATGATCTCAGCAATCATCCCTCCATGGGTCCTACCCCAGTTCTGGGACATCCTGTAGATCAGGATAACCCGGAAAGATCGCTGAAACTGTCATTACAGTAGCCGTACATGTAAAGCTGGATGGGTTTGCAGAAAATCTGTGTAAGCATTAGTACAGAAAACGAGAAATCTAAGGTTATTGGATTTCAGTACAATCCGATAGTGATCCGGAATTGCATGCTCACAATACTGCTGATCATTGCGAACTCTAGTCTTACTCGTAGTTCCGATTTAAACGTGCATGAACATCACTCGCAGGCTAAATAATGAAGATAGAGAATGAAAATGGAAGAGCTAGGCTATAAAAGAGACTAGAATTTTCAAACTGCAATCTGCATCCGATAGAATAGAGGTTTAGAAATTTGGAAAATTTGAATTTGGAGGCTTGCAAATTCAGAAATTTAGATATTTGGGAATTCGAAAATTTGATAAATTAGAATTTCAAGGCTTGGAAATTTGCAAATTTAGAAATTTGATAAATTAGATTTGGAAACTCGGAAATGAAAATATGGAATTTAGAAATTTAGAAAGTTGATAATTTAGAATTTAAAAGCTTGGATATTTAGAAATTTTGAACTTTGGAAAGTTGAGAATTTGCAAATTTGAGAAATTAGAATTTGAAAGCTTCGAAATTTAGAAATTTGGGAAATTGGGAATTTGGAAATTTGACAAATTAGAATTTGGAAGCTTTGAAATTTAGAAATTTAGAAATCTGAAAAATTGGAAAATTTTCTATCCATCAGTGGAATGCACACCACTTGCACGTCCATTCCTCCATCCCTCTATGGGCACAGATGCCCACAACTGATCTATAATACCACCTTGTTCTCTAAAAAAATTAATAAAGAATTTCAAAGCTGGTAATATCGAGCCAAGAATCGTGTGAATGATTTTACATCCTCATATTCCCCATCGGCTTTTGTCTCCAGCGATTAAGACTTTCTTCATGAATATTTCATACAAGTCGATCCATTTACAATCCCGCTGACGACGCATCACTTGAATCCCTCCTCTTTGCCTGCCATAATTGTGAATCGTTTTGAACGGGTGCAGTTTCAATTCGCGTTCTCAGGATTGAACTATGAGGCGTCTAAGTTCGCGACACGTGTGTTAGCACACCTGGATCCAATTATAGATTCGACTTAATGTACACAATATCAGGTTTATTGTCTGACTGTTCGTGGGTGTGGTGGAGGATATATTCCCTCTAGAGACCATTCTCTTTGATCTTCAGCATAGAGGATTTTATGAGATAAATACTCCTACATTTTTTATGACGTCTGATCCTGTATACTCTGCCAACTTACGTGTCTTAGTTTACTTAGGAGGTAAGGTGAAACTAGATATGCATATCTTCTTAGAATTCTATTTTTTCTCAAAGAACAACTTTATTCCCTTCATGGTCAAACTAACACTTCAGCTTATTTTTAAATTTTTTAATTTCCATGTTCTCAAATCCCATTTTATCAAATTTTTATTAAATTTCCAAACTTTTAACTTTTCAAATTTCCAAATTTCCAATTTACCAAAATTGGAATTTGGATATTTCTATAATAAATTTCGAAATTTCTTTAGATTTACGTAAAGCAATGGGACATATAAAATATTTGTAACAATCATACTAAAAATCCACTATTTCGAGGCTTCGATACACAGTTTAGATGGATAACCAATCTATACACAAGCTACGCAAAATATCATAAAAAAACCCAAGCGAAACGTCAGTTCGCACATTTGTTACATACCCATAGAACTCTGATGATGAATAGTTTCGTAAAAAAGATACAACAGCTATACATCATTTGAGAAGGCCATAAATTGAACAGCTCAGAGATAGACTACTGGTATAATCCTTATAATTATTACGTCATTAAAATAATATCTAATCCTATACGAAACGCGAGGATCAAACTTGGGGACGGGGTGAAGCATACGAAGTGTTCCCTTTGCCGCTCTACCGTCCCGGTAGTTGTCTTTCTATCTCTGCACAGTAGTCCGACCAGTCGCGTGGACTATCTACTTACGGCGCCGGAGTGCGGTCCTGCTTGACCTGTACTACTTGCTACCCATGCCTACTATAGCGCGCATCACTCTATAACAGTTTCTTAGTGTCCACTGTTTGATTAACACGTTGAACGCCATATGGGTCACCGATGACCGACACCGGAAATCATACATGCCTGAATAATTAAAAGAAAACAATAGAAAAACATTATTTTAAGTAAGTTATGGTACAAATAATGTAAAATGGCAAATGGAAAACTTAAAATTTGAAATTTTTAAATTAACAATTTCTATTCTTAACACTTAACGGACGGGTTGTTTTTCTGTTTTTCTCAGTTTCCGGGAATTTTTTAAAAGAATTAATTAAACATATATGTATAGTTTTAAATCGTTGCAGTTTTTTGACAAAATTTTATATTATCATGATTATCGTGATATTTTGTACAACATTCACCCTTGTGAAGTGGAACCTTATATATCTACAGCTAATGGTAATAAGAAGAAACCTCAATACGCATAAAAATGAAAAATTAACGCAGCTTAATAAAAATTCGAGCAAAAACGAAAATCTACGTGGCCCGTTTTAAAAAGTCAGAATGGAAATACATCCCACAACAAATGGCTATTTTAACCGTGGCGTTCAACGTGATAATAAAAACTCGGCATAAAAATTTAAAATAATTTGAAATAGTGAATTTTATTTAATTATTTAAAACAACAAATGTTAGTAAATAAATTGTAAGAGATCCTAAGAATTTTTAAGAGTGAAATTCTTCAACTCGTTGCGTCTATCTTACCTCTTTGAAAGATGAAACCAGGTTTACTGCAGGGTTGTTAACAAGGAATTCCTTCGTTGATGCTCAACGTATCTCAGAAGGTGCTCAATGTTTTTCCTTTATAATACAGTTTCCAAGGAATCATAGCTAACTCGTACACACCCTTTGTCTTAAATTATACGTATAATATTGGTTGCTGCTGGATATTCCTGTAATGAAAAGCGTCGTCTAACGAACGAAC